AAGGTTAATCTAAAATTGAATTTTTTTAACATCACTACGTTTCGCTTGTTTGTTCCGTTGTTTTAAATTCTTCGAGATCTTTGCATTGAATTTTGGACTTAACCAGTTGCCGATGAAGAGTTACATATAATGGGGTCTCAACTAATTTTTATCTGTCTAAATTATCTTTTTTTAATTAAAGTCCGATGTTATGGGCGATTTTGGAAGACACTTTGACTTCTATTACCAAAGTAAATATAATTTAATAGATTTGTAAAAGAAGTTGTTTTTGATTACAAAATTAGTCCGAATCAAATGGTATGGTATTATTCACTTATTTCCAAATTCATATGAAACAAGTAACGACGGGAACAATGACATGATGTCCATTCAATTTCTTGCAATTTTTAGCTCATTCTGATTTTTGTTTTATCTTAATCACATATGCAATCGAATTTGTTCTAAATGTAATTGACTAATGCAATTTGGCGATAAAGGAATACAAAATGTATTTTAAACCTAGGAAAGTGAATAAACTTGCAATAGATTGGTGGCTATTATTCTTAAGTCAATGCCAGATTTTCATCGCAATTTCTGAAGGCAGTGTGTTTATCGTTGGCCAATACAGATTGCACAACTATCAAAAGAGCCAATGCAGGCAATGTGAATATCTCTTTCTTTCTCCTTTTCCCCCTCTCTCTCTATCTATGGTCACTCTGGCATTGAAAGGCTCTCAAGGGCCAATGCAGGCATTGGCTGACTCTCTCACGCTCTCAAGAGAGTCCGTCAATGCCTGCATTGGCTCTCTGGAGAATCGGCCAATGCATGCATTGGACCTTGAGAGAGTCAGCCAATGCCTGCATTGAACAGAGTCCATCAATGCAGGCATTGGCCGACTGCACATCAATCAGTCAATGCAGGCATTGGCCAACTGCACATCAGTCAGTCAATGCAGGCATTGGCCGACTGCACATCAGTCAGTCAATGCAGGCATTGGCCCACTGCACATCAGTCAGTCAATGCAGGCATTGGCCGACTCTACATCAGTCAGTCAATGCAGGGATTGGCCGACTGCACATCAGTCAGTCAATACAGGCATTGGCCAACAGCACATCAGTCAGTCAATGCAGGCATTGGCCAACTGCACAGTCAGTCAATGCAGGCATTGGCCAACTGCACATCAGTCAGTCAATGCAGGGATTGGCCGACTGCACATCAGTCAGTCAATACAGGCATTGGCCAACAGCACATCAGTCAGTCAATGCAGACATTGGCCGACTGCACATAAGTGCCAATGCAGTCAATGATAGACTCCAAAGACTGATGCAATGCAGGCGTTGTACATTCCACCGTACATACATGTATAGGGAATGCAAGCATTGGAATACCTTTTATTCATACAACTAATACAAATAAAATCTTCCTAGTAAAAGATATAGTTATTTATGTATATATTGTATTTGTCAAAACAGGTTTTTAACAGCAGACTTCTATAATTCAAGTTATGATGATTTATCAATTTTAACGTTTATTTTAATTTTTGGAGAAGAATATTTGCAGAAAAGTTAAATTAAATTAAAACGATGTATTTTCAAGGACAGTTTGATAAAAAAATTTGCGTAGAATCTTATTGCATTGTCAAAATGTTGTCTTCTTGATTCCTAAAGTAATCCATTTAGTCTGTGCAGTTCTCAGTACTTCGCCTGAAAATAGAATCGGAGTTAGTTACACAAGATTGTTTGAATTAGTGTAAATTTGTATATCATTTTCGGCATTGTTTCACCAAATAATTACAATTCATCGTATTGTCCAAACATAATAATTAGTGCTATACGCTCTAAATATTAATTCCAATGCTTCTTTCGCAGATTTTTAATTTTATGTATTCATGTAATCATCACTCAATAATCAAATATATGTAGTGAGTCACAATATTTAATGAAAACCTTATGATATGGTCGTTGGCCACTATTTTAACAAACAGACTCGGGTCTCATTTACTTTAGAAAGAAGCTGTACATCAAAACTGGAAAATCCCGAATCCCAGAAGTAACCTTAAAAATAGTTACAAGCATTTTCCTTTTTTTATATTATTATATTATATTACTTTGGAAAAAGGCAAGTTATTTTGAATAATAATTGAAGCATTTGCCAAATAAACACAATATAGTTGCATAAATACAAGCATGGTACTTGTACAAACCTTTGAACAATGTGCAGCTGGAACTTTCCGTCTTGAAAACGCATACTATAGGATAGAGATACACTGGACGAAGCTTTGCTTCAAGATGACCACAACTGGTGTTTTTCCACTGTATAATGAAAATTCCATACTTTTGTAATCGTCCACATATTATTTTGCTGTGTGAATGATCAGTCTTCAAACTGGCCTAACTGTTGGGTGAATCAATGCACTACGTACTTATATGACGTCGCAAAATTAAAGAAACTAAAATCCGCGAAACGTTAATAGGCCAGGGGGTTTAGAAGATCTATTTAAAAATACAACGATAAAAAGGACGTATTTAAGGAATGACTAATTCTTGGCCAAATTATTCGATGATAACCTGGTTTGGGCCAGTTTACGCTTTATAATCCGCGAATAATTTAACAACTGTGGGTGTAAAATTGTGTTGCTTTTTATGAGTTCAAATTTGCCGCTCAATAATACATCCCTAGTAACGGAAGTGATATGAAACAAGGGGAGGTAATAACTGATAATACAAATCTAGCAGCCATGATGTTTGTTTACACGAGGTAAGATCGAGCTACTGTTTGAAGTTAAAGGTACATGTACATATTAAATATTAAATCTGGAATTTCCCATGAATCCCAAGGACTGGAAATGAGGGGATTGTATGGATACAGATGATTCAGCTGGTTGTCAAGGGGGTCTGTCCCCACACCAAACCAGATTATTAAGAAATAATTTGCGTTCCTTTTTGGAGATCAACCAATGAGAGAATAGAATACGAACAAAATTAAATTATTTTCAAATCAAAATGATATTGTTTATCATTACTGAGTATACATATTCCTGACATGATAATTTTTAACAATCAAACGGCCATATTATATAGAACATTTTGTCAAAGTCAGCCAAGCCTGGGGCTTCAAGATCAACTGTGAAGAAGAATGAGGTGTATTGACTGACTGCGCAGTCGGCCAATGCCTGCATTGACTAACTGCGCAGTCGGCCAATACCTGCATTGACTGACTGATGTGCAGTCGGCCTATGCCTGCATTGACTGACTGCACAGTGGGCCAATACCTGCATTGACTGATTGCGAAGTCGGCTAATGCCTGTATTGACTGACTGCGCAGTCGGCCAATGCCTGCATTGACTGATTGTGTAGTCGGCCAATGCCTGCATTGACTGACTAATGTGCAGTCGGCCAATGCCTGCATTGACTGACTAATGTGCAGTCGGCCAATGCCTGCATTGACTGACTGATGAAGAGTCGGCCAATGCCTGCATTGACAGACTGCACAGCGGGCCAATGCCTGCATTGACTGATTGCGCAGTCGGCTAATGCCTGTATTGACTGACTGCGCAGTCGGCCAATGCCTGCATTGACTGACTGTGCAGTCGGCCAATGTCTGCATTGACTGACTGATGTGCAGTCGGCCAATGCCCGCATTGACTGACTGTGCAGTGGGCCAATGCCTGCATTGACTGACTGATGTGATGTCGGCCAATGTATGCATTGACTGACTTGACATTGATAGACATTATAATGCACAATACCTGACTGAGCCTGCATTCATACTGCATAGTAATGGAAATCCCGCACTGGGGTATTGGGAAATAAAAATTATCTGCATTCGGATATAGTTGTACAAATTCAGTAGCATTGCAACAATACAGGTAAGGAGATGTAAAATGGAAAAATAATTCTAGTGAAAACATGTCCATCTGGAGTTTCAGTATTTTCCTTTTACCAATTCAACTTTATTTTGCTCAACTTTGAAAAGTAAAATTTAATCAATTCAAATGTGTGCTTCAGCATAGGTTTTTGTAAGGTGATGCGTGAGTCATTTATAAACAAAGCTTTAAAAAGTGATAATTGCATAAAAAAATAGTTGAAACAAATCAAAATTTAGTTGAGACTCCATTTTATTTAGACCTGCGTTCGGCACCAAACATCTTCGAGCATTGATGGATCTTTTACCGCCTACTGTCCTAAGTGGCCTCGGTTTATGCTCTAGAGTTGCAGTATAAGAAGGATATCAATAGCCGTTTCCTGTATGTAGTGATTATCATATTAGAGTTTCCCTTGTTCTTCGAGAAAACAATTTCCCATTGTTTAAGCAATATTCCAATATTGCCTTATATGGCTTGCTCTGAATACGATTAATTTTTCAAACATGCATACGTTACTGAGAAATACGTTGATGTAACAAAGATTTGAGCAACAATGTTTCAGTCCGATTTTTCGAAATATTACGGTCATAATGTTGACATTTTCTCTCAATTCAACCTATCATTATTGATCGAATTTAACCTTACATATTTCAAAGAATTGGATAATCATTGCTCTTGTTGCTTTTGTATTAAATTTGACTACTCCGCCTAACTGATCAATGCATAATGGCATGGCGTGTTACCGGTGTTACATTGGATACTTACTCCCCATTTGGCACATGATCCCATCTCTGGTGTTTCAACAAATCCATGTTTTCGTCCGTTCGTGATTTCTTTGCTTACTTAATTTACGAGATGGATCTCTCCGTTATCTTTACATTTTACATTGTTCTATCAGGGTGTTCTTTACTACATGAAGGATATGGAGATAACGAACAGTATTTAATATCAAAGTCCATAAAAAAAATACAAGATAAGAGCAAACACGGACCTCCGAAACATCACAGGTGGGATGTGTTTATTTAAAGCTTGAAATATCATATGACTGAACACAAAGGTTTATTAGCTGATGTGATTATCAGTATCAACTTACTTATCAGACTGAATATCAAATAAAAATATCTAAGCTAGTTTTAATCTGCGTCAAACTTTCCCAATGGCAACCAGTAAATTAGTAAGGTTTTCTTTGGGTTCAGCTCAACAACACATGTACATTCCAACGTGCAATAAACACCAGGAATTTCTTTCTACATTTTGTGAAGACTGTGATGAGTTCATTTGTTCTAAATGTGCTAAAGCTGACCATAAAGATCATAATTGGAATATCCTTTCCACGACAGCTAGTCACACGAGAAGAAAACTGTCTACATTTCTCAAGAAAATCTCAGATAAAAGACTACCAAGAATAGACGAAGAAATTGAAAAAGCTTCAAAACTGAGGAAATATAATCAGAATCAGTGTGAATCAGAGATAAAGAAACTGTTGGAACATTGTGATGATATCATAGCAAGATTGCTTAAATTGAAAAATCATCTCATAGACAAACTTCAAAACAATCTGAGAGAAGCGCTTGAAAAATTACATCATGAAAAAAATTATCTAGAAAAAAGCAGGAAGCAAATTGAGGATTTAGTAAAATTTCTAAAAGAAAAGAACACTACCATGTCTGATTACAGGTTGATTGATACCTGCAGAGAACTTAAAAAACTTTCTGAAAAAGAGTCTGATATAATGAACTTTGAATATTCATTAAGATATAAACAAAAAGAAATCAATGAAGACTTATTGGAGGAGATCAGTGGAAAGATTTGGGACTTAAAGGATGCCAATGTAACCGTAACAAATTCATTTCAATACAGGGAGAAGAAACCTGCACTGAATATCCTAAGGGCATCCAGTAACGACGAATGTTTCATAGGTGACTCCAAGTCAGATTTCTTGGACAATGTCAACAGGCTAGGTGAAATAAAAAACAAAGTCGATATTTCTTATTATGATTTTTGTGTGACTGAAAGCAAAGATATATATTTTACAGATGGAGTGCTCACATCGATTTGCTGTTTGTCCCCAGCGGGGTCTATCTCCACCGTCTTCAAGACATACCCACTGTTACCGAGAGGAATTTGTTTGTCAGTAACTGGTGGACTTCTTGTTACGTTACGAGACGATTTATCTGACAATCCTTTACTATTAGACTCAAAGAGTAGACGCCTAGTGAGAAATATTACTCTGAAAGGCGATGTCATCCGCGAGTTTGAATTTAAGAGGGATGGTCATACTAGATTGTTCGCGGATCCAATCAGAATCAGGCAAAGTAAAAACACTGACATCTGTGTTTTGAATATAACCGGCAGTTTTTTAGGTGAACTAATGATTATTTCAGCTTCTGGGGATCTTAGGTCTGTTTACTCTGGACTGAATCTGAAAAATGGCTTTTATCCATGTGATGTGGAGTTTGATCAAGAATGTAACATTCTTGTAACAGATCCACGAAATCACGTTATTCATCTGTTAAATCCTGATGGGGAGTATTTAAAGTTCATACTGATAAGGAAGGATATGAATTTTCCACGCTCATTATCATTATATAAGTTTACACTTTGGGTAGTTAATTTTTCTGGACAAGTTAAAGTCTTCCGGTACAAATGCAGTTAATAATCATGTTGAAAGTGAAAGGTAATTAAAATAAACATTTTTATATCTTTGATAATCATAAATTTGATCATATAATGCATACATTTTCAACTGTAATAAATCAGTTTTCTATATAGATCTGATCTACATGTACCCAAACAATCACATAGTCTTTGCTTGATTGTATTTTGTTAAACGTCCCTCTCGAGAATTTTTCACTCATATGGAGACGCCACCACCATCAGTGGAGACCTGCAAATTTTGTCCTATACTCGGCACTCAGGGCCATTGAGCAGGGAGGAATCTTTATCGTGCCAGCACCTACTGCGACACGAGACCTCTGTTTATACGGTCTCATCCAAATGACTGGTCTCCACGTCCTACAAAGGGTTTAGAACCTGCGACGTAAAGATCAACTCCTACTTCGCGACTATAGAGCAGACGCTCTAACCACTGCGCCAGGCGGGCGAGCACACATATAGTCTTTGAGCAAAGCACAGGATTTTGTATTGATCGAAATAGACAAGTACAAATATAGCTTAAAAATTAATAACATACCTCAATACTGTCTCCTAAAATAAAGCACACACAAAATTCAATATGCCTAAAATTGTAATTAATCTGGTTAAATTTTGTTATGTATTATAGTTATATTAATTATAACATTTTTGTAATTCAAGAAAATATTCAAAACAATTTAAAAATGTGGACATATTCAAAATTTTAAGGCGATGATATCATTGACAGCTGCTTTTTCAATAAAAATGGAACTCATTCTGATTGCACACACAAGTACTCTGAAGTGGACATCAAAAACATGATTGAGTTTCTGATTGACGATCTCTATGTGGTTTTGGAGACCAGGTCTTCCAACAATTTTTTGGAATTCCCATGAGTACCAATCGCGCTCTGTTATTAGCATACCTATTGTGATGTATCCTGCAACTTTTTAAGAAAAAACGGGAAAATTCACATATTTATGACGTCAAAATTAGCATTTAAAAACACATGTGAGAAAAATTATGTGAATGATTTTTCTGCATCGAATAACAACGGTCACTATAAGTTTACAACTTTTACACCATTGTCATTTTTTAGAAAATCATAGGGCAAAATTTGAATGTAAACCATATCAATTTCATTTAAAAATAGCACTTTTCTGTAGTATTTTGGAACTTTAAAACGATCGTTAAGTGATTTTTTTCTGCCAATAATTAAAAAATTGGAATCAGACTCCTCCTATTTTTCTCTTTGTCTGTGTCTCTCTCTCTCTTTCTCTCTCTCTCTCTCTCTCTCTCTCTCTCTCTCTCTCTCTCTCTCTCTCTCTCTCTCTCTCTCTCTCTCTCTCTCTCTCTCTATCTCTGCATTATTAATATGATACACTATTTTCTAACCTTAATGAAGTACTATAATAGTTTATTCTCAACATAAAATTAATTGAGAAACACGTGTTTATCATGTTCTTCACCAATATGTCATATTTTTAAAGCAGTATCAATGTATTTTTTATCTAAAAGTGACTATAAAAATAGACTCTTTTACCTTATATAATATGATGCATCCATAATTTTATAGCATTAATGAATTAAATAAACTATTTCGTTTTAAAAAAAAATCATTTTACGTAAAAAGCATAGATTGTCAACTAAATATGAACATATGTTGTTTCTGATTAATTCTACATTGCAACGGTATGAAACATAGAGATAAAAAACAGAATGCAAAAACAAAAGTCCATAAAGCGATACAAAATGGAAGCAGAAAAAAACGGACCTCCGAAACATCAGAGGTAGATGTCAGATAGAGGTCAGATACCATGAGGAGTGAGCATCCCATGCTGACCTGTCACAGGCCATATGCTCTTTATCATTATATAAAATAACGAGAAGATCCGTCTTAAATTCAGTGCATAAAGAATGGATCAACAATTCGTATGAAAAACTTAGTCAGCATTTGAATCAATAATAAATTGTACTAGCTGACAATGGCATTGTACTGGCTATAGAACTTTCTAAATGATGACTTTAAACGAATTCAAAACTGCTGATATTCTTGTTTCGTCAACTTGTTTTTCAATAATTTACTCATTTTACATTGTTCATACTTAAATCATGCTCTTGCGTATTGAATCAACTTAGATACCCCGTATGCAGGTGATGAAAGTATATTGCTGCATAAGTAAGGAAAGTTGAGGATAGAAAAGTTAAAGCCATTATGTTAATCATAGAACTTGATTGTTAGATTACCATTAACGTCTTTTGCAAGTAAAATATCCAAATATGAAACAGATTTGTCAGACTCTGTGGTATATTTTATCTCAAGCTCAACAGGGTATATCGTATCTACATAAGAATAGAAATTACCATATGCATTGTCAACCGATAATACGTCGTCGATATCTATAAATGTCAAATTGAAAGCCGAAGCAAGTGTTTGTGTTTTCTTCGTTTAATGCATAAGATTTTGCACTAATTCTGTTTCATATGAATACAGGAATAAGTCTGCTTATAACGGGGGGCAATGGGTACCCATGGAATTTCCAATAAATTTTTTGGAAGGCCTGGTCTCCACAAACAATATAGATATTGTCAATCAGAAACTAAAGCATCTTTTTGTTGTCGACTAAAGAGTATTTGTGTGTACAATCGGAATGTTTTTTAAACAAAATAATTTAGAAATGACCAATGGAAAGCTTTTTTAAGGAAGGTAAATTTTTATATTGTAAAAGCAGTTGTCAATGATATCGAAAAGCTTGGACTTATCGAAGTCGAAGAGAATGGCTGTGTATAAAGTTGAAAAGGCATAATATTTTAAGCTAGTTACTCCGAATTGTCCAAATAATCCTTGGAATTTTAAAGCATCCACATCTGATTTACACAATTTTTTTAATATATTGTTGCACACTACTCTTGACGATTCTCCTTCATTACGGTTAATATCTAAGTAAGGAGTAAAGAAATAGGCTTGGTTTAACATTGACTGGAACCCGCTATGTATCTTTTTGTAAGGATTCTGGTGAAGTTTTGGAATCCACTATATATATGGTAGTTCAAATTCATTTTGGTTCTTTAGGATATTAAAAGTATTCGAAACTGATATACATGTACACTGTATTATTTAGATTTTTTTTTCCGTAGAAAGGGAACTATGGATGTAAAAGGGACCAGTACGTACTGATCATGTAATCTATCTAATTCTTTTTTCACTTCTGGATTATTGAACGCAGAAGGATAGATGGTTTTCATATTGCCCCTCAATCTTTTATTACGCGACTTTAACATGGATCTGATACATTTAATCCATTCTGACAGGGTGTCAACGTCTTCTTTTTCATATCTGGCCCATCGACTGGCGTAATTTTCAACAGAATCCATAATATTTATGACATTCCGATGCCAGTTGAAGGATCGCAGTTCCCTATACTTAGGACCTTTTAAAAATAAGTGATATAATGTCCTCATTATTAACTATATTTACGTCATCTGTAATAACGTGTCCAGCAGGACTATACTGTAGTTATAGGGAGAAGAAGAATATGAACACGATGGAGGATTATGCTTCAGATACTCGGTATCCAGTCCATGTAAAGGTTGGATTTCAAACCTTAAAATTTCGAGGAAATATAAGTTCAAAGACCTAGTTCATATTTCTATATTTAAAAAAGACTTAGACCCTCTCTAATAAGATGGACGGGAGAAAACAAATTCTTTAAAAGATAGCCAAAGAGATGATTTTTATTACAAAACGTTTTGTAAATATCTAAATTTATTCGTTGATAACGTTAAAACCATGCACATTTCCAGCAGTTTACTATAATTAACAATAGTTGAAACTTTATTTTAGATCTTTTTTTGAGATCACACAATGCCGTAAATCTCTGGAATTCAGTAAAATCGTTGTAATAACGGAAATGATGCGTATATATAGTCATACAATACGTATTTTCTTTAAGGTTCATCGATATTCTGATAAGAAAGACAACTCTCAATGAAATGAAACATATGGAGATAACGAACAGTATTCAAGATCAAAAGTCACTAAAACAAAACAAAACAGGAGCAGAGCAAAAATGGACCTCCAAAACATCGGAGGTGGGATCAGGTGCCCTGGAGGAGTGAGCATCCCCTGCCGACCAATGAAATAAATTTCTATTATTCCTTTATAAATATGCCAAATTGAAGTGTTTTTCTCTCCAATTTTGCCCCACAAGTTATGCTATAATTGTTTATATTTTATTGTAAAACAGATTTCTTTTGGAAAATCATTAGAGTTAAAGCTGCATTTTATATGAATGACCAGAGGGTTAATGAACCTTATAAAATATGCATGTATCACTTGGAAAACTCGAAACAATTTGAAATCTAATGATTAACTACAGTAAAAACTTTACACCAGTAAAAACCAATGATTCTACATGAATAGTAACTATAGTTATCTATAGTATTTTTGTTAGGCGATATTTTATTATTGTCCCTCTTGAGAGATTAAATATTTTATAAGATAAACCGTACAACAGTCATATTGCAGAGTTTAAATTGCATTTCATAAAATAAAATTTGTCAAAAAGGACAAAGAACATGTATTCATTATTTTAGTAAACAAGGATCGTAGAATTGTTTTTTATATAATTCAGATTTTTTAAGTGCATACGAGAAGTGAAACATGGTAAATTATCGGAATTTATTATTTTAACAAAAACTATCAAAAAATTGGCCGGACTTTTACTACTCATCCTTTTCTTCTAAAATCACAGCCTCCCATTAAAATGGTAAAGCTTTACTAGATGTAAACTTTTAGGCATTTTAATTCATCTTTTTTTCTTACTTTTGTGACTACACCATGTGCACCAAAACCACAATTCCCTCCAAATATAATTTAATAAATGATGATATAAAAACAAGACTTTGTGTCTTTCTTGTAATAAATATAGTGGGAAGGTTTAGGGAATAAACCACAAACTAAAGATTTTCCATGCAATAAGATTTCAAGATAGATGAAAATAATTGCAAACAAATTAGCAC